ACCGCTTAACTTGCTTATTACGGGAGCCTACACCAAGATGGCTGTCTAGTGGACAGGTTTCTAACTTAGGCGTTCAGATCACTAGCAAACACTGCAGTATCTATAATTTAGCACTAACGTAGAGCTCGTTAGGTTGGGGATAGACGTCAAATTTCACCGGGTCACTGCTACAGTTTGTGGGATCCAATCGATCGGGGCAGCTTTAGCCCGTGGACTCAGATAAATGCTTACATCGGCTTGACCGGTATTTGAAGCTGCGTCATCTCCGAGCAGTCGCTGTAAGAAACTGCCACAAATGTCGCAGGTGGGGAGCGTAGGATTAGCACGGAGCTCGGAATTCTCAGGCTAGGATTCGATTAACGGAGGAATTTGATCGACGGTTTCTCCAGTGTCCGGGCAGGTGACCTCTGTTGGCCAATCTGTAACAAAGTGCGAAAGTTGAGTTTGTTAGTCTTGGCGAGGATCGAGGGCTCAAAATGGAAACAGATCAACTGACTGTCCACTTGTTTGAACATGGACGTAGTTTTTAATATATTCCTCCCAGCATCTCACAAGCTACATAGCGCAGCTCCTTAACCCGGAAAAACACCAAACGCGTTCCGACCTATTGGGGCTCACCAGTGGTGCTCATTCCCTCAGTCACCTACTAGGAATCGAACCCATGAACGCCACAGGCTGACGCCAAAGGGACAGCAGCTAAGGCCACTAGGCCATGGAGGACGGTGGCTGAGCTACATAGTCTGCAAGCTAACTGGGATATAGCATGACTTATCTTCCACTGCCTGGCAGGATACTAGCGTAGCAGATGAATATGGGTTTCGACTGGACTGGAATAACGTCGTTCATTTGAGCTTGAGTAGAAACAAGAAGACAAAAGACCACCGCAGCAAATGGGAGAGGACCGAGAATTTTGGGGTTGAAATAGGGGATAAAAGTGAGGTTGGGAAAGACCGATAGAGGAAAAACATAAGAAAAGGGATAAGAAGATGGGAATGCTTGGGCAGTAGCATCCTCACCTCTGTGCACCATGTCGGATGCAGCAGAAAGGGCGCCATTGGTTGTCCTCTACGACGGTCTGAGTATCAAGAAATTGTTTGTAGTGTCACTTGGTTGTATTGAGTGAGTAGGATCCTTTCAGGTTGCCCAGGCCTAGACAGGAGAACAGTCAGGGTTCTCAATAAAGACCTTTGGTTTATAAACCCGACTGCAACGTAGCGGGATTTTGGCATTGGGCAACTGAGTCCGTTTTATAGAGTAAGTATCTATCCTCACTCCAACTCTTAACCTGAAGTCAGGAGACCGAGTTCATCTGGCCTCTAACTATTGACCAAGTTGGTATGAGTGGCTCCGAAGGGGTACAATCACTATGCAGCATAGCTCAACGGGTACGTGGGGATTGCAAACCATCGCAACACCTTAAGTTCGAGTCGCCTCGCGACGGAACTATATACGGTATGACCTCTTAACTGACTCAAGTGTGTAATAATCTGCATGTACCCCGGAAGTTCAGCCCACCCGGCCGCTTAGTGATATAGGCCATATACCAGATATCAACCGTTGCATTCTTAGGGCGAAAGTGCTTCTTCGCGGTTCTTACACCGTAGTAATAATATGAGTACTGGGTTACACATGACGCACTAATAGGTACGCAGATCCTGAGTGAGGAACAAGAGACTAAACTTTAGCTTCTTTCGAGACTAGCTAATTCACATCCGAAGGTAAATGAAACTACTGACCGAGAATGTGCAGGATTTACGCAATGGATGCACTGGAGTATACATATTGGACACTGCGCAGAACCAGGAGGAACACGCGATGCTGGTTCATTTCATTGCAACCTGGACGCGTACTTCTGGAGTTACTGTTTTGAGAACAGTTGAAGATTTCATGAAAATGGTGTCGAAATGAAGACGGCCCGGAGTGCGCAATACCTGCTTCATCTTGCATTTGCCACTGTATCATTCAAACTCCAACTACTGAAAACCGGTTTACCGGGTCAGATGAATCGTTCTCATGGCGGAGTTAAAGGCTAAAGAGAAGTACCTACATATGACTGGGCTCTCTAATGGGTATCCAGAGAAGGGTGCACTGCTTTCGGTCGTGCAACTGGTAATATTCATCTATTCCAGTTATTGTCTCACTGGTCGAATTGGCCAAGTTCACTTCAGTGTGAATCGCGGTCCACAGTGGGGTTACAGGTAGCAATCCATTCGCATAGTGAGTACTTCAAATTGACCACTCAAGTATATAGAGCATCACATCCAAATCCACATCCACCCATTCATATTGAAGCTGCCAGGGAACACAACAGAGAAAAGAATGCTCATTTGTTCCTGTCGTCCAAATGTGACCATATCGCAAACAACACTGGGTCCTATCCTAATTATGCCCTGAAGTGCAGTTATGCGACCGCCCTTTTGGGATGTTCCCACACCACAAGAAAGCCAGAGTTTAACCCCATCCAAGAAGGCCGTCGGGTAATCTGTCGATTCATGTTGTCCACCAGTGCATCAGCAGTTGCGTGACACTTACTTTGGTAGGACTGACCTCCGATCGATCCAATGGATTGTCGAACACCTTCCAAGCTTGATAAGACAGGCGATGTCCCAACAAAATGGAATGAATCAGGTGGTAAAGAGGAGCCCTGCGTCGTCTATCGCAAAACCCTTCGTGACGACTCTTCAACACAAGGACACATCCAACGTTTTCGAACTATTCTTACGTGAAAGGAAGCCGAAACAGTTGGTATATGGCCGAGGGCTGCTGCTCACGAAGAGTCGTCCCTAGCTGTGCGCACAAACATTATCGAAGAAATCAGTTTGATTGTCTTGGTCTTGATTGCATCAGTGAGATTTGTTCATGAATGCTTGTTTCGCTTACGTAATTTCGCTGATATACTGCACATACTGCGACTGCAACTGACGAGAGCAATCGAAATGCTAATATCTCCCAATATTTATCTTTCTTCTCTGTTGTTGAAGCGGCTGAATGGGACGCAATATTTCATACTTCAAATCAAATTGTGCCATCATGTAAGACAGATGAACCATCAGGCGACAAGTCTTGACCAAACCATAGGACTGCGAAAAGACTGCATTCAACTAACATCAGGAAGATGCTTTAAAAAGATGGTTGTTGGTATAAAAAAACTTAGACTTAAGCTGCTGTCTACTAACCAGATGCTCATCGTCCTAACGCATATTGGTACGCGAATATGGCGGTCGTGATCACTGCCTACTAAATGTGAACTTCAGGAGTTCAAAGAAGCTTTTTCTGCAACCGTACATGTAGCTGAGGACGTCCCGGTGGGTAACTGTTTCCTCAAGCGTGACCTCACTGAATGCACGATTACATGCATGTCTATGTCCTACCATTTGGTACGGATTACCTTGCTGCCTTAGATGTGACTTGCGGATGTCTAACAAACGCACCAGTGAAGCCAAGATAACTGCTAAAGCAGGTATTGCCTTGACAGTAAGTTTCTTATGGAGTAATGTCAAAATCAAACCTGCACGAATCAATCAACATTAGCAGTAAGCTAAAAGATTTCTTTTTATTTACTTGCTTATCGTGAAGCTTTCTAAGTGACTTTCTAGAAGTAATTCAGTGATTTTATTGATGGGTACAATTCATTTAGGAGCACTTGATGAGCTCCGAAAATTTAAGCTTCTAACTATACACAAAAGGCAGACTGAATTAATGGTTAGAGGCTTATTTGCAAGCGCTCTTTTTGTTCGTTTCTAGGCACTGTTTCTAGTGGTGTTTAATTCCAGAGCATCAGTCTCTAGAGTAAGCAGCTGTGATTCCTCCCTTCAATTTGTCGCGGAACGTTATTTTAGGTTTATGGAGAGTTTAACGCATTGGCTTCCAAGTGAGATGGAGTATCACCTACCCGGAAATCACCAGATGGTTATTTCATCCTAATGGAACGCTTCAGTGGCAGCACAAGGTGCTGGCAGACGAATCAAGCTTTTAGTGTCGAGAGGTCGCAGGCTCGATTCCTGATAGAGCAGGAGGATGCGCAGCACTGGCGAGTCCCGATATAACGAAATGTCTGTCTGCTGCTTTTCCGGATAAGTTGTAAACCATCTAAGTTGAATGTCAAAGCGGTATACTCCCAATAAAGTACATCTAAATCCCATAATCATTAGTAAATGTCAGGTGAGTTTAACATATGTCCCTCTACCAAGACATATGCACCTTGTAACTTGACCAAATGTGTATCTACAACGAATACCAGGAACTTGCAGTGCTTTCTTCTGTGTTTCATACGACCGCTGCTCTGTTACCTAGTATACTTCGAGTTTGTCAACTACACCCAACCAGAAACCGTCTCTTGCTCCGCAATTGTAATCTATCTTCAGTCAGTGAGCACAGTTGAAAGTCGACAAATTATCGGAAATTTCGATCAGTTGGTACGTCAGTGGTTCACTGGCCGCAAAGGCAAGAAGTTGATGGAAAGTGTTCCAAATGTGTCTGCAGTTCCCCAGCCTCAGGAGCTGTTTTGTGACTGCATTCATTTTCCATTTGGTCTGTATTTCCCAGTTGCTGCCCATAGTATGCTGAAGACTATCGTGCTCATCGAGCGAACTGTGGCACGCGAATACAAATACGCTCTACTTCCGCGGAAATGCCACCACAATGTCCCCTTACTCGAGCAGCTCTACAGCAGTATTTAATAGCGTTGTTTTCCACCTTATTAAGTAATGTGAATAATTTCACCAAGAATTTCATTACCAATGGCTCATAGAAGAAGCCAACTCTGTCCTTCATACTGCTGAGTTTTTATTCAGACAAACTGAAAACCCTTTTGGCTGTCGTCTGATGTCCTCCTATTGTGTAGGATTGCTAATTCACAGCACATCTAATGCCATTTTATGAGTAGGGTTGAAACCCGCAATTTTACGCAAACTGAGCACTGAGAACTTGCAAGTGGTTTCTACTTAAACTGAGCGGTTATGATAGCTACCCCACGGTGGCGCGTATTTTTGCATTCACAGGGATCGGATTCGGAATTTGCATCATTGCCAGCTACACAGCTTGGTACTACAACACGATAATGGCGTGGTCGCTATTCTACATGTTTGACGCAATGAAACCTCGGCTGCCTTGGGATAGTTGTGACAACTGGTGGAACACGCCGGCTTGTGTTACAGCACATGAGCAATTCGTTAACATTTCAACACAAGATCTGCACGACGTGGTCCCAGAGATGGGGCTGAGGAACCGCACTATCAGGCACTTTAACGATACTGGCAACGCAAGTCTGGTGGTCTATTCTTCTACTGAGGAATACTTTTAGTGAGTTCCATTTTCTTCCTCTGGTATGCTTTCAAACGATATGGAATGGGCACATTTTAGAAGCTGGATTATATATATTCGCAACAGTCTATAAATGGACATTAAGCCATCGAAAAACCAAGAGGAATAAAATAGAAACAAGTACAAAGGTCAGGAACAAACAACAAGTATCTTTTGGCTTTTGCTCTTTTGGTCGGTTTTCACACGCCATTTTGTTCATTTTTGGCCTTTTGTATGGTGTAGTTCCAATAACATTGTTTAAAGCAATTCAATGTACAGTCCTTTCATTGACTCCAATTTCGCGCCATAACGCCAAGTGTGTCAACCTATTTGCGTTCCTCATCCTTGCCCCCCCCCAAAATCAGAAGACCTAGTGGGGCGACGATTGTGAGACAGGAGGTCAGCGATTTCATGGTTTGTCGTCAAAGTCTTGGCTGACCTCCATGCGTTCTCTACCAATTCAATCCAGTGCGAGCAAATAAGGCGCGGCGTGGTAAGCGCTCGCATGACATACGTAGAAAGTCCCCAAGCCATCTCATTTGACCGATTGCGATAAGGTAATTAAGCGGAGGGCTCATTTTTCCTAAGAAGGGACACCATCATCGTCATCATTATACACTTTAGCTGCAGGTGGAAAACACCTCAGTTTTTGTGCCGCAATACAAAAGACAAGAAAAGGAAAACAGACTGCGGCACGTCAGCTGAGTCCCCAGTAACGGACAGTAATGGACATCGTTCCGGAGAGATAACAGCTGGCTGCCGTAAAAGAGAGTCGTATTATGCCTAACAACTGAGATCGTGATTGGAGGGGGATGCTAAACAGGAGGGGATGGACAAAGGAACTCACAAGACAAACGCCATTGGTGCCGGCTCCAAGCCATATCAGCAAGTGTGTCCAACCAAACGTGTTCACCGTCCTTAGGACCCCAGCCAGGCAGTCGGGATGCACCAACCGACGCCAACTACGAAGTGAAGGTTTTCATCTCACTCGACCAAGTCATCGCTTGACTTCCCCTCCTCCTCTTCCAACCGCACCCACAACGCGCAATCAATGCACGTCGCGGAAATCCGGGTGCTGGCATGCGCAACACGTGGCCCAACCATCGGAGTCTGGTACGTGATATAATGGTGCGGAACGGTTCACTCGCTCTTCCTGCACCAAATACACGACGCCGAACACGCTCATTACTCACGCGGTGCTCCCACCAGACATGAGCTAAGCTGCGAAGGCATAGATGATCGAAGATGTCGAGTCTCTTTATGTTTGTCGACCTGATAGGCCAGGTTTTACAACCGTATAAGAGGGTTGTACGGACGGATGCGTTGTAAACTCTGCCCTTTAGGGCGAGAGTAATGTCGCGCCTGCGCCACAGGTGGTGGCCATTGACAAAAGCACCTCGAGCTTTTGCTATACGGATCGTAACCACATCTTCAATCCCACGGGTGCTAATATAGCTTCCCAGGCACTTGAATTTCTGAACGATTTCTAACTGAGCACCACCAAGCTTTAGCGCAGAGTTGGGTCCCTGCCAATCTTGGTGAAATACTTTGCATTTCGATGGAGCAAAGCATAGCTTAAAACGATTGACAGCCAGTACTAATCGGTCCAGTGCTTTTTGGCAAGTTTGGGAGTTGTCACAGATTAGGGCAATATCGTCCGCATATTCAAAATCAAGAAGTCGCTCACCAGGAAGTAGCTCCACACTTTCGAGATCGTGTCCAGCGAACGCTGTTTCTATGACTTCATCAATAGCGAAGTTGAAGAGGAAAGGTGACAGCGGGCAACCTTGTCTCACACTGCTGGTGATATTGAAGGGTGGTGACAGTTCTCCATAAACCCACACTCTGCCCGAACTATACACGTACAGCGCTTTGATAATGTTTACATATTTCTCAGGCACATCTTTCCTCAGCAGATAGTCCCAAAGGACACGTCGATCGACTGAGTAGAAGGCACCTTTTATGTCAAGAAACACGACAACGGTGGGTCGCCAATAGACATGGTGGTGCTCCAACACTTGACGCAAGGTGAAGATGTGGTCGATGCAACCTCGATGTCGACATTCTCCGGCTTGCTCTTCATGAATCTGGCTTTCAAGAATGTCAGTCAGTCTGTGGAGAATGACAGAGAAAAGATATTTAGAAGCAATCTTAATCAGTCTGAGCCTTCTATGACTGCCGCATTCCAAACGGATTTTCCCTTGAAAATTGGGATAATGACGAAGCGGTTCCAGTCTGTCGGGACTGTCTCCCGCTCCCAAAGTTTCACCAGCAACTCGTGTATATCATCTATTAGAGCACGTCCCCCGAATTTGAAGAGGGCTGGGGGAATTCTATCTAACCCTGCGGCCTTATGCACTTTCAACAGCCTGATCTCAAGTTCGACTTCTGCGCTTGAGAGAGGATCCAAGGAGACCGACCAGCGAGAAGGATGCTCAATGCCCGAAGATGAAAACGATAACTCAGATTGGTTACACTGCCTTGCAACTTGTTCAGCCCAACGCTCCAAGCCTTTTGACAGGCTGTGCATCGGCTGCCCACTCTCCGCGCGTATGGTGTCGCTAACACCAGGTCTCCTGCTGCCTGTTTCCCGTAACAGAAGGAATAACTTACGATGATTACCAACGGCAGCGGCTGTTTCCATCTCAGAGGCACGATGAGACCCCAGATTTCGCGGTCTTTCTTCAGGCTAGCATGTACTTTTGCCCTGACATTTTTGCGAGCCTCATTGTCTTCGCATCCAGCCGGAATACGTCGGCGAGCATCCATAAGTTCCAGAGACATTGTAGAGACCCAATGTCCGGTTTGGCAATTTGCTTTGCCACATGAAGACATGCCTGCTAACAGCAACGCTTGACGAATATGCGACCAGTGATCTTCAACGGTGTTTAATGGGCGCTTACTCAGCCCAGATGTCAGCGCACTTTGGTACATATTCAGAACATCTGAATTCGCCAGTTGGCTCATATCAATCCTTTCACCTCGACGTTGCGGACGTCCACCGAAAAGCACCAGGAGGTCGGCACAGACAAGTGTGTCGTTAGATTCCACGCTCGTGCTCCAAATCGAGCGACAGTTTTGGACACAGCCTCTCCAGCGGTAACTGATCACGATTTGATCGATTTGCGTCCATGGTTGGCCCGAGGCTGGTGGCCGTCAAGTCACACTTCTGCGAGTGCTGTGTCGAAAGTTAGTGCTCGCGAGAAAGAGGCGAGCATCTTCACACAGCTGTAGCAATCGCTCACCATTGTCATTACGGGAGCCTGCACCATGTTGGCCGCCCAGATGAAGCTCATCAGAGGACAATTTTCCGACTTGGGCGTTTAGATAGCCAGCCAACACCACAGTACCCGTGCTTCTTCTGTAACGAAGGAGCTCGCGAAGTTGCTGATAAAAATCATCTTTTACCGAATCAGTGCTACAGTTTTAGGGGCGTAGGCCGCAATGACAAACAGGCACCGTTTATCCCCGCGCGACTTCGTAGCACGGAACGAACCAGCTAATCTAACGGTACACATCCGACTGGTGACTGGAATCCAATCAATCAGGACAGTTTCACTCGGGGACTCAAAACAATGCCGACGCCAGCTTGACCAGCATTTGAAGCTGCATCATCGCCAGACAGACGTAATGAGAATATGCCGCCAGTGTCGCACGTAGGGATCGCAGGGTGACCACTGAGCTCGAACTTTGCAGGCGGGTTTCTGATAAACAGCAAATATCGATCGATAGGGTCTCTAGCGTGCGGGCACATGCTGTTTGTTGGCCAATCTGTAGCAAAGTGCGCACGTTGAGGCATGCCAGTCTTAGCGAGACGGGAGGACTCCAAAGGGAAACGGATGAACTGACGTTGTCCGTTCGGTTGAACATGGACTTGTCGACTGGATTGGAACGACGCCCTGCGATTGTGTGATTTGAAACTAGAAGACAAGCGAATATGGAAGCAAGCTAGGGGAGCACCAAGAATGGGAGGATTGAAAATGGGGGATATAATCAAATTGGAGCTAGACGATAGCGATGCAAAGAGCACGAAGGGATATAAGAAGACGGGAAGGCCTGAGCAGTAGCATCCATACCCCTATCTACCCTGCTCGATGCAGCAGATAGGACGCCGTTTATTATCCTCTGCGACAGCCAGAGCATCAAGAAATTGTTTGATGAAGGGTTCATTGTATTGCGTGGGCAGAATACTGTCAGGTTGCCCAGGCCTAGACAGGAGAACGATTAGAGTTCTCAACCAAAGCCTTTGGTTCAAAAACCTTGCCGCAATACAGCGGGTTTTGGCACTGGACTAGAGAGCCCGTTTTATGAAATAAGGAACCACCCTCATTTCAACCACCAACCTGGAGGACCAGCAGGCTGAGTTTGTCTGGCCCCCAACCATTGACCAATCTGGTATGATTGGATCTGAACGTACAAAGAAAAGCACCACCCAGCATGGCTCAATGGATCTCTGAGGCACGCAAACCATCGCACCACGGTAAGGTCCAGCCTTATTGCGATGGCAGACGCGACTCCGGACGTCATCGTTGCGAACCCAGCGCTGCCACCACACACAGGTTATCCACCGCAAACATGTGTTGTCGAGGACCAAAAGCCTACGCATGTCATCCACACGAATCGGCCGGGACTCACTTAAATACAGCAGGACAGCGCGGACAAAAGCCTTATAGACCCTCTCCTTTAAGGAGAGGGATATGTCCCGAAGAGGCCACAAATGACTCAGATTGTTAAATGCCTACCGGGCTGTGGCATTGCGAATAGTGTCATCATCAGAAATAGAGCTTCCAAGGTAGACCAAGTTGTCCACGAGCTCCAGTTGTGTTTCTTCAATGGTAAGTGGGGGCAGACGACTTCCAGTTTTGGGGTAGCACTTTACTTTCCAATGGGGAAAAGTGCATACCATACTTAGACGCTACAATCGCCAGATGATTCAAAATGAGCCCTATACTCTATGAACCGCCACCAAGCAGAGTGATATTATCAGCATAATCCAAGTC